TGGATATGTGGTCAGCAGTTAAACAAAAGTTGCTGTCAGCATTGATATTCAAATAGTTCTTGCTTATATACAAATGTACTTATTAAAACGTATTAACAAATATGAAACAAGTAACTTAATTTCCACAATAATTCTAAATGTCCAAGAATGTTGTAGTATATAAGATTGTTGCAATACACACAATTGAACCTACTTTACACAAAGTTCAACTCTGAGCCTTATATTACGGAAGCCTTTTGGGCCCATTTGTTTCTTTGGTTTTAATTTCAAGATACAGAAGTTGAAATTTCAAGATACTAAGTTAACATCCTAAGATGTAAAAAATACGTTTGAAGTGAATAATCTTGAAATATCAAGATCCTACGGAAGCCTTTTGGGCCATTTGGTTGTTTTAAAAAAATTTCGATACTATCTTGAAATTTCAAGATACTAAGTTGAAATTTCAAGATATAGAAGTTGAAATTTCAAGATACTTAGTTGAAATTTCAAGATACGATTCGGTATTATATTCTTCTTGGGGGATATTTCAGCTCACCTGGCCCCGGGATCATGAAAGTGTTCTTAGCTCAAATTTTGCTAAGCACGAATTTTGTCTTAAGTTTTTAAGATTTTGCTTAGCTAAGATTCGGTCTAAGGCTGGATCTTGAAACGGTCTCAGCCAAATCTTAGCTAAGACCGTCGTCATAGGGACACGCGTACGTAATATCGCACAACGGTAATCATTGGATGCCGAGGTTATTTTTCTGACGCACATTTTCCTAAGATCGGAAAAGTGAAGGTTGTCCGAGAATTGCGCTCACTCGGCACTGGATCTACATCCGGCTATAAAAGTACGCAGCGATGCAGAATATTAAATTTCCTATCTGATGGTGTAAATTTAACTGTAAATATTAAACCGGTTTGAAAAAAAGACGCTGCTTAGTTTTGTCCGAGAATTTATTCTGCGTCGAAAAACAGGAAATTTCTCCACTTTTTAGCGTACACCGATAAAAGTACTGTGCAACATTTTTTTTCATTTAGAAGCTTTACGGAAACTGTGAGCGAATAAAATACTGCCTAATATTTGAACGACATAAATATATTTCAAAAGGAGTTATATGAGTATGTATAACGACATAAATTCAATGGAAAAAATAGCCTGCCGTAAATGACGAAAACTGATTTACCTCTATGACGTCAAAAGGCGACAGAAAGGTTACACACGTTCAAAGGAAAGGGGGCATAACTCCGCTATGCTTAGCACTAGTTTATTGTAACTCAGGTCACTTGGTGAGAATTAGCTGTGGGTAAGGACAGTGTATTTTCGTGGTGTTTTGTTCACGAGGAACCAAACTATTCCAACACAAATATCAATATTGAAACTGTATACGTTTAGGCATAAAAAACCCATCAGAAATGATGAAATTGTACTGCATAAAAATGAGTGAAAGCGAAAAACCATGAATTAGTCCTTAGATTCTAACATTCTCCTGATTGTGCAAGTGTAATTTGACTAATGTTGCACCTATATAATTGGATCAAATCAAATCAAATGTAATGAATTATTAAGAAAATGACACAATTCTATTTGACGTCATGGCTGCTTGTATGTCTTTGATAACGTCGGAGAAAGACGACACTGGTATTACATAAAAAGACTGCGTTTACTATGTAAATGATGTCTTGAATAGATAAACAATTCGATAATGTACAGTGTATCTTAATTGGACAAGACACGCACCTGTTTGGCTTCAATTTTACGTAATCAAGTACTCAAAAGACTATTTCAAACCATACAAAATTATTATTCAATATTGGACATGTATTTGTTCATTATTATGTAATTATTTCTCATCATCTTGTCTCAAAATTATACCATAAAAGATGCGAAGAAAGCTCTCTTGGTATAGAATTATCAGGATAATCGTATATGGATAATCGTCCACGGGTACATGGCACGGGTTATATTTTAGTTTAATATCCTGTGGTCACAATATTTGATAAAGGATGAACCCATTGATTATATAATCCAAAACTAGAGGAATAATTCATAAGTCGTTTGTGACTAACGCGCACCTGGCGAATCGTTAGATATCACTGTTCTGTGTATCAAACGGCATAAAAAAAATCCAAGACAAAGACAATTCTTCTAGAAATGTGTGCATATATTTTAACGAAAAATAATATCAATTTTCTTTAAGTTATATCTTCAGTTTAGTTATACGGCTATTCGTGGACACTGTTTATATGAACTTATAATATTGACTATTACACTCCCTAGAAATACATACATGTTGCAGTTGCATTTACATTTCATCAAGTATCACTTGTCCAAAAAAAGAAATATCGTATACGACACTATAAACTTATCAATTTCATATGTAAACATTGTTCAAACAAACAGGATATTATTAAAGGTTCATACATGTTGTGGCCTATATCTACCTATGATATCATATTAAACATTGATTATTATCCAAAGTGAAATTAAATGTGTGAAAAAATGTACACAAGACATGCACGATCTACATCATAATTGAAACAAAAATAGCAGGACACAATGATCGTGTGTACTTTCATTCAAGGACCTTCACCTCAAAGAAATTACTTAATATGTACAACATATGTTGACGTATGGCATCACTACCGGTAACCGACTTTTACTAAATGGCGTGTTCAGTGTCAACAGTACGCAGGATTTTTTTTACAAGGGGCTTTCGTTGATTCAGGGTTCGTATATGCATTTGTAGCACGGGTTGCGAGCGGTAGCTTTGATCTTACCCGTGCTGTATCATGGTAGTAAGAGCACGGTTTGTTAAAGATTATTACCATTGGCAGATGCCAACATCAGCAAGCCCCGCCTCCTAGTTTGAGAAATTTCAAACTTACAACAATGTTTCTTTAGTGTTGTACACAGTGTTCAAGAGTAATAACGTAAATAAACAACAAAAAACAATAGATATGTTTATAACTTTATTAAAAGATTACAATGTAACTGTCAAACAATCAAAACAACTGGACACAGAACGCATTTTGCTAAATTCGGAAAATTAATAGTTGAAAATTCTAATGTGCCTTTGAAAATTCCAAAGTTAACACTTGATTTAACAATTAGATTAAAAGTTAAAAACGGTTCGAAGGCAGAAAGCATGTGACATACGATTCTCTTCCCGTGTATATTCTGAAAATGCTGAGCCAATGTAGATCTACTCAACGAATAGACGAATGGCTTTGTTTACATTTCCAACAAGTGCACTTTTTTCAGCGTTCGTTTTCACACCTCATTTATTTTGCTTCATTACATCTAGACAATTTGTATTGGTGACAAAGACCATTTGGCATTTGATTTGAAATTGTATGAGGAATTCAAGGATGTATGTATCGCAGCTGATTTTGAAACATACGTGATGATATTTGCGTCTCATTACCAGTGTACGTATAACGTGATTTTGTAAACACTACCCAATATGGCTGTCACAAAACGACCTAGCAACTAAAGGTGAAAAGCCCAAGTGGCAACAAACGGAAGGAATATCAAAACTTGAATGATAGGTGGGAGACTGTGGGAAAGTTGAGTGGGGTAGAATCTATGCCAGTTCATCACCGGTTAGACCAACGATGAAAAAAATGGTGAAACGACGAAATCGATATCTCTCAAAGAGCTCTTCGTCGTTGTACAGATCAAGAGGGTTGAATCGGTCTCGAAATGTCCGATGAATTGCTATTTTGTCCTTTTTGTCCTTAGGCGACGCATGAGGCGAACAACCCCCGCCATCTTTCTTGCTACAAATTTTCTACTCAGGGGCAGTCTTAGGAATTTTGTCTTAGGCTTAAGATATTCTCATAGATTGTGCTTCGTGATCCCGGATTTAAGACAAAATTTGGCCTTAAGTCTAAATCTTAAGAGTTAAGAAAAATATGGTCTTAAGTTTGTTTCATGATCCCGGGGCCTGACCTTTTATGTCGTAGCTAGTCTTCCGTCGTCGTCCATAAACGTTTTACATTTATGACTTTTCCGAAATATCACCAATACTAAAAATACATGGGTTTATGCACACGAAGTCGAGTTTCCAATGACTGGACAAGGGTAAGTTAATCCCCCTGGTCGACTTCGTGAGATTTTGGCAAATAAAGGCTTAGCGGTACAACAGACCATATCGCATGTTGTTGTGAACCGTAAGTCCGGATAACACACATCTCAAACACAAAACTGTGGCATTTCTGATTTTTATTTTCCATTTTATATATCATTATCATATCACAGTCAGGGACAAAGATACATGGATATATATATGCGTTTGACTGAGATACATATATACAATCACTAAATACACCACACTTAATTTTCTAAATCTAGATGTATGGCATGTGAAGCTGATCTTGCGAAAAATACAATGTCTATGTTTCCTGCACCAAGGTCACGCTTTAATGATGCAAGGCGGGTGTCGATCTCTCTGTATTTTCTTCTCCTCTTTGCTTTCCTTTCTGGCCTGCTTCGAACGGAATGAGTTTCGAACAGAATCAGATATTTATCCACTCGCTAATAACACTCGAAGTTGGATAAACTTTCGGTGTTTGATGAATATTGACATTAAAATTGATTGAGAATTAATTGACAAAGAAATGATTGATTCTGACACATGCAAAGAAGTTCAGAGTATCAGAATTCTGTCTGAACGTTGCACATCACCGCAGTGTTGGCTTTACTCTCTATCTGCAAGATGTCGAGTGTCTCCTCATCTAAGTTGCTATTGTTTTCTCCTAAATAGATGAACAGTAATCATCGACCCATCATTTGACTCGTGAGGCGCCTTTACACGGACGCTAGTCGATACAGCCGTGAGGATACACTCAGAAGCCATGTTTCTTTACGTCAGTGTGCAAATGCTGGGATATCATACTTCAGTTGAAAGTGGAGGCTGCGAGATTCCACGGTGCTGTGGCATGAATTCATGTTTTTCCAAAACATTATTTATCTATTATATTTACATGATAATGTAAACTTTAATCCTTTCTTTCAGAAAAACGCTTATCAGCCATACGCCGAGGCCTGACCCGTGATGCCAGTGGCAGTACTACCTTCCTGAAGTCAGCTCACAACACTGGGCTCCGTTCTACAGGGAGTAGCAGCACCTTCAGAACAACGTCCGCTCGGAAACAGAAGTAGTAGTATTAGTTCCCTATCATTATTATCGAATAGTAATACAATAAGATAAGATAAACCTGCTTACTTGTCTAGTTTTGTTAGCTCTCCCACTGCTCCCATTAAAGATGCATCGGTTTCTGAGGTGCAATCGATTGTACAAATATATTTTTTTTAATATGATGTTCTGATTTCCCAATCATTAAAAGCCCCGGGAATTTCCTCGTGTGTATACAGAAGTTAATGAAGTCTCTTCAATCTCTGTTGGAAACGTCCCTACGTCCATATGCATTCTAGTGAACACAACGCAAATATGCGCATAACAAGCGATGGACGCAGTGTCAGTCAACAGTGTTCAGAATTAATTCTTGAGATTACTTACTCACAATTCGACACACCTATATCATCGCCACCTTTAACAAATCAACCAAATCAGCATGATTTGTTTTTCGCCGCAGTCAAATGTATTCCACCTATATGGCGGCCTGTTAAAAATTGAGTCTGTGTCAGACACACCATGCAGTTGTTGATATTATGAGCAACGTTTAACTCCGTTGGGGTACGATTCCACGTAATCAAAAAAGCCACCAATTGATGCCACCTGATACACGAAATATCGTGCTGGGGACCAATTCTAACCCTGAGGCGTGTCAGGAGGGCGGGCGAGCGCACAGCGAGGCAATATGCGCGTACTCGCTCTCGCGGCACAGCATCCAAAATGTGTTTGTTTGTTTGTTGTTTAGAACTAACGCCGCACTCAGCAATAATCCAGCTATATGACGGCGGTCTGTAAATAATCAAGTCTTGACCAGACAATCCAGTTACTGACATCATGAGCATCGATCTACGCAATTGGGTTACGAAAAACACAGTCGCATCTTACGGCATCTTGGATTACTAAGCTAACTACACTACCGTGCCATAAGTTAAGGGACATTTGAGACGTTGCATGTTTGCCAAGAGACCATCGCTTTTGGTTTAGCACGTCTAACTTTCGACCCGCGAAATGTTATAATGCGAAACTTTGCCCACAGATTGATGACGTCGTCAAGTATCGCGTGCCACGTGCTTTGTTGTCGTCTGCTCCGTTTCTCACGATTTCTGCCACTGACTTTGTGATGGTTCGGAGAAGGAATATTCTAGCGCCGGACAAGAAGGAAGTTATCATGCACCTGCATTTGAATGGTAAATCCTGCAGAGAAGTAAGTCAACTTCTGGATCTACCCAAGAACAAAGAACATGGTTTGATTCATCGCTGGAAAATCAGCAACGAACTGGCAGACTGAGGATTCTGAGCAACCGTGACAGAGGGGTGTTGATTCGTAGTGTCAAAGTCAATAGACGATCATCGCTTACAGAATTTACTAACAACATTAATGAAAACAGGCCTTCTTCTTTATTCAGGAGAACTATTCAGGGTAAATTATTAGGGGGAAGGCTATCACGGAAGGGTTGTTCGCAAACGCATCAGGACGCCTCAGTCTACCCCCTGGCAAACGTCTGAGTGTGATGCTTTGGGGATTCATAGCGTTTGAGGGTGTGAGGACATAAACATTCCTGGAAGGGAGTGTAAATGCCCAGAAATATCAAGAAGTGTTGGATGAAAATTTGTGGCCAGTAATTGCTCGAAATTTTCAAGATGACAATGCTGCTATTCAGCGTGCACGTCCGTAATAAATTATGTACTCAACAACCAAATTCAGTCACTCACTGGGACTGCACAGTTTCCAGATATGAACATTATAGAAAACATCTGGCTTCGTATCAAATGAGAGTTGAAAACACCTGTTCATAATATCGACACTACCGAAGATCTGCAAGAAGAGATTCATGACATATGGGAATCTTTGACGGTTGATTAAATCAAAACCAAAACCTTTTACACCAGCATTACACAGCAAAGGGCTACATCCCCAAATATTAGGTATGTCAGTTTTATATATTGTCTTCGGCGAGCAAAAACAAAATATAGAATACTAAACGAGCTCCCGTGTAATACCAATTTTATGGAAGAGTGAATAGTTCTGGTATCTGACTCACTTTCGCTCGTCAGATACCACAACTATTCTCGAGTTCCATAAAATTGGTTTTACACGGGAGCGAGTTTTGTATTTTATTTATTACTTGCCATTTATAACGTTTTTACCATTCTACTGTTGAGTGTGAATAGACTGACACCTACACGATCCACGGCATGGTCCAATTGAGTTTTAACAGAATAATACTTCAAACACGCAAAAAGTTGAAACGTATGGATTTAATACCATACAACGGTCCACCTTTAGAATATAGGCGTCCCTTCCAGAAAATTATCGTAGCGCTAAGGTTATGGCAACTCACATGCTTTAACTTGACTAACGACTGTCGTTGCGCTACAATACGATCGCCCTGTGGAACGGGGCCTTGCACCTCAAAGTTTACAATCACGTCACAATACCCGATAACGTAATTTGTGGAATTTTGTTGCAAGATCCATCGGCGAAACAATGCCATTGGTCGTCAGACAAGCAACAAGGTTGCTTGGGTCAATCGAGTGTGCATAAGCTCCACTCAGTAATCTATCATCTCCACGCGCAATGTCGTTGAATAAGCCAAGGGATGTTGAGAGCGTTCAATGTTTGTTCGTGAAACGTGTCCCGAGAGTACACAAGCACGCGTTTTGTTATTACACAATGTGTAATACAGCTATATGTTTATTAAACGGGTGATCTCTTCACGGGCAAGTAATAATAGAACAAGTTCACTTCCGGGTTCGTGATGTCACTCAAATGTCCGTAAACCCTCTGGATGCCGAGTGTTTTTTTCTGACGCACATTTCGGAAAAGTGAAGGTTGTGCGAGAATTGCGCTCACTCGGCACTGGATCTACCTCCGGCTATGAATATTAATGTTCCTAATTGATGGTGTAAATTAAACTGCAAATATTAAACCGGTTTTAAAAAAAGACAATTCTAAGTGTTGTCCGAGAATTTATTCTGCGTCGAAAAACAGGAAATTTCTCCGCTTTTTATCGTACACCGATACAAGTACTGTACGACGACGTTTTTTATTTAGAAGCTTTACGGAAACTGAGCGAACAATATACTGCCTAGTATCTGAACGACATAACTACATATCAAATGGAGTTATATGCGTATGTGGAGCACCTTTAGAATACAGTACCACAACTTCTCGTGAGGACGATCTCTGCCGTAAGTCACATGTCTCAAAGACAAGCAACCACAGTTTTTATGAGAATCCGTCGGACGCGAACTCGCGACCTTCGGGTTGTTAGCCCGACAGCTAACCGACTGAGCTACGTCCACACTGTGAAACAAAGTGCAAAGTTACTTAGTCATGCCTACGACGTTACGGAACGGAACGAAAAGGGTCAAATAGGTGACGGACACTTACGAAGGTTACGGGTAGGCATGGTGTCTCGTGACTTGAGTCTACGGACACTTACGAATGATCCCGATGCCATTTGGCACACTCGTCCCATTCCGTAATCTACAAGATACCGAGTGGTAAGGAATGAGCCGATATGCCGCGAACTGAAATCGCGAGTACGCATGAATGACATGGTATTTAATAATTCGTCGGGTAGATTTTGTGACAGAAAAGTGTGGCAGGGAACACTTTAACGATGATGTGGATAATAGTAAGGAACGAGGGGGGCATTAGCATGGCTAGTGACGACACAACGGTGAGTTCGCCTTTGAATCAGACTGAAAATATGTAGCCGGTGAAAGTGGCCAGTGTGAATGTCCCAGGACAGTTTCCAGTAGCCAAAATATTTGACACAAAACCATTTCATTCTTTTTACTCGACGTTTTTGTGTGAAGAATATTAGGAGCCGCTATAGAATCTATAATAGCCACGAAACGGGTACCTTACCCTAATGCTCGTAAAAGGGATGACTGATCGTAAAGGGGATCCAAGGGCTAAGGATAGAGTTTGGGTAATCCAATAGCCAAACGTGTACCTAACCCTAATGATCGTAAAGGGGTGATTGATCGTAAAGGGGATCCAAGGGCTAAGGATAGAGTTTGGGGTAGCCTACCCTAACACTGGCGACATTTCGATGTGTTCAGCGTTAATATAATTTTCCCAATAAACTGCATTCTTGTGCATAATAATGAAAATTAATGAACCGAAAAAATAATATATGTATATTTGTTCCCATTTATAACCTTTTTAGACACTTGAATTACGAGAAAAACGAAAGAAAAAAAAAGTGCTTTCGTAAACTAGCGCTTGCTATAAAATGAGACGCCTTGGTTGCTAAGGAAGTAGTTCGCGCACATTTTGTGAGCACAATAAAAGATTGCGGAAGGTATCCGGTGTAATGCATTCTTTCCAATAAATAAAAAATAAAAGTGCCTTCGTAAACTATCGCTTGCTATAAAATGCGCCGCCGAAGGCTATATTTAGTAAACAAATATTCAAAACTCTCAACACCGCTGGGCGCCTTCAATAATATTGCATGTAGAGATGATACATCACTGGGAGGAGCTTAAGACCCCTGACGTCATAGGACATTGTTTCGCCGGTGTGACTGGCAACAAAATACCACAAATTACGCCAAAGTCAAAATTAGTTTATTTGTGTGTAGGCCTTTGACCTATATACAAGAAAATGCAGTGCCAATAAGACAATGTGAAGCACATTACATAGATTTTACGACTTCATGTCTTTGTTTATACGCATAATATACAAAATATTGCAGACGTTTTAATAACTCATCCTGAGTTGTACACAATATTTTTTTGAATTTATATATAGTTGGAAACTTCCAATACAATTCTGGCAAATAAACTTTAGGCAGCTCAGTATAATGTTTACAGATCAATACGAAATGATATATTTATCTTCAACAGACATATTGCAAACAGGACACATACGTAAACATGATTCAATAGATTGCCATCTTCCCTCGTTCTGTCGTAAAGGTAAAACGTTACATCTTAATTTAATAAAAACACTGCGTACATGTTTGCCATTGTAAATGCTCAAATATCTTTCAGGTTCAAACAGTGTTTTATAATCTTTATACATCATATATCGGGTACTACTGTTGAGTGTTGACATCCAGTTTTGACGAAATTCATCTACAAGACACGTTTTAAGCACCCCAATGAAAGCTATATTGTCCCCAACAATGGTTTAACCATACAAATCC